AACGATTCGCCGCTCTGAGCTCTGTTCAAAGGTCAACGATGCCACTTCGAAAACTTCCTCTAACGGTGCATAAAGCGTGTAGGCAGGCAACAGCTGTATCTTGCAAAGTAACAGGAGTATTCACGATGAGAGGTTTTCTCGCTTTTAGAAGAGCTGAATTACACAAAAGTTGTTAATTTCAGGATAGTAATAGTCATTTAAAGACACAAACGGAAATAACGACGACTAAATCACATAACAGAAAACAATAGAATTATCTTATTTTCACTAATAATTTAATTCAGAAATAAGGTTGCTGAATACTCGATGTTCAGATAGTTATCAAAATACAAGTTTTTAATCTTAGAAATTTCTGTATGATATGAAATACTTAAATGCAAGATCCAAAATATTTAAATCTGATTTTTGATATTTAGAAGGATGAAAAAATAAATCTAAAACTTTTCGGTATTGCCAACTACAAACGTCACAATTCTCATTTATCTTTAATGAACATTTTTTGTTGACATTACTGTCTTTTAAATGAATTACTTTGTGCCATTTCTGTAAGTTTAAAAACACGAGACCTATGTCTCTCTGTTAGTGGATTTAGATAATCGGCGAAAGTTGCTCGTAGTCAGCTTTCCTTTAAGTCGATGGCTTTTGCAATAGAACCTGTAATAAAGAAGTCAAGGCCAAGAGAAGGACGCTTTTGTCACTTAAGAAAGCTATAAAAGCCGATTTAATGAGAAAACTTGTGTATCGAGAATACTTCTAGTCTGCTCCAGGCTTTAACATCACTTGTCAGGGTAACAACACGCTCTCCACTCTATGTTCTCTGACAAAAAACGTTCGTTCTTCAGGTTAATGCGCGGACTTTAGAATCATTATTGTACTGGTGTTCCACAAGAAATTGTCTCTTTGCTTTAATGTTGGAACACTTCAGTTATTTTATCAATAAGTTTATTTTTATTATATGTACTGTACAGTACAGTACTGTACGATGCAGGATGATTCTAAAGTCTGCGCGTTGACTTGAAGGGGTGGTAGAAGTGGGCGAAACGAACGTTTTTTTGTCGGACAAAATAGGGTCCAGAGCGTGTTATATATAATTCTTTAATATATACTTAATTGCTATTTTTACTATTTAGGCCCTATATTTATTTTCTTATTAATAATGTGTTGTTATTTGCATTGTAGAATATATTAAATTATTCAAATAGGTAAAAAGTCAATCAATTTTAATTAAAAAGGCAGACGGTATATTCTTATTCACAAAGTATAAAATACAGAAGAAACTAAAACGTATTCGTATCCGTCCTGTCCAATTAGTTTAGTTTCTTCTGTATTTTATACTTTGTGATTAAGAATAAAGCATCTGACTTTTAATTAAAATTGTGTATATATATTTTCTACAATTTCTAAGATATAAAGCAAGGACAATTTCCATTTTATCGTGATAAGTAATTGCACATACAGGAGCAGCATAAAGTAATGCAGACGAAATCATTGAACGAAATAACTTTACATAGATATAAGCAGGAATTAATTTTAACTCTTGAAAGAATAGGCCAATTGAATCCATTTTTATTTTGGGCTTACGTATATTATAATTTTTAGCCTGTAAAAATTGTCCAGAAGACGAAAATAATACTCCCAGGTATATATAATTCGAAACAATCTGCAAAAGGCTGATTATTAAAAAAACCATCTTTCTCTAGATGATCGTCTACCACTCTTCTTGAATACCATTATTTTTGTTTTAGAAGCATTTATAGTTAATCCATAGTCATCGCAAAATTTCTTCAGAATTGGAATTTTACTTTGTAACATTTGTAGAGTATCAACAGAGAGAGAAATCCTAGGTAAGTCAGATTTAGCAAGTCGAACTATCAGAGCATTAACATAAATTAAAAAGTAATGGGCGCAGAATTTCACTCTGCAAAACTCCAATTTCAATACTAAATGGATCAGTCGTTTCGGCTAACATTTTTACTCTTGCAGTAGCTTTGGTATATATATAAATCAATTATAAGGCCAAGAAGCTATTTATTCATGCCCATTCTTTCCAATGGAAACCACAAAACTTTAGATATGCTTTTGATACTGTTAATCACAAAGTTTACAAAACCAGCATAAAGTTTTCCTCTCTTTTTCTGAAATTTTAATTGTACCAATGCATTTAATACAAATATTTGATCCTGACACGATCAGCCAGGTCGAAACCTGCTTGCTCCTGACACAAAATATCGTATTTAAATAATCCAATCTTTTAATCTTTTATTTAATAAAAACGTAAATAGTTTATCAATTACAGTAACCAAAGATATAAGTCGGTAATTTTTTGAATCCTACACATCGTCTTTTTTATATATTGGAATAATAAAAGATTCAATTCATTTCTCCAGGAAAGTAGAATCTCTTTTAATAGCGTTAAAAACCTTCAATGTTGCAAGAAAGTTTTCTGAAAAACACTTTAAATATTCTGTTACAGTAAAATCAATTTCTAGTGAGGTACCAGATTTAAAACGGTTAATAGCTCCTTTTAGCTTCCCAGTGTAAAAATCTATAAAACATTTTGTTTCTATCGGAAACACTTTATACATATTCATCGACAATTATTTATCATTAATAAATAACGAATGTTCTTTAAAGAATTTAGTAGCATAATAATTAAACCTTTTCAAGAGAATTCTTGAATTATAACCCGATGGACTTTTACGTTTAAAGGTATTAATTGTTTGCCAAAATATTTTAAACTTATTGGATGTTATCAAACTTTTATTTAAGTTAGAAAAGTAAGACTGTTTTTCCTTTTGTCATATTATTTTATATTAAAGTAAATATAATTATATTTTTAATTTAATATAAAATAATTTACATAAATAAGCTATATGAATTCTCCATGATTATTCTAAATACAACTTAATTTACTGTCAGAAATTGTGATAATTTTTTTATTTTTTAACTAATACATGAATAAAATCTGTTTTAAAAATTCAAACAGAGTTTATACGAAATTTTGTTTAATATTAAAATTTGACAAAATGTTTCTACATTATTTATTTTATAGTACAATAGGAAAAGCCATTTGACAATTAATTGATTTCCTTCCCGATATTCTAAAAATAAAATAAAATAAGACCCATAACAAGAATATTGTTCAGTGATTATTTGTAACATTTGCAAATTTACATCTTTGAGATCAGCGATGAAATTTTTCGATTGTTTTTCTAAAATGTTGAGCTAAACTGTACGGTTTTCAGCTATTTTCTAAATAAAAGGATTTTTTAGAGATTTGGAGAAAATGTTTTGGAAAATCGAAATTCATACTTTCAGCATGACAGATATCGAGAAATTAGGAAAATCCAGCAAAGACTTGCATAACTTTTCCAGCAAAAACATTTAAAATTGCGTGTGACACTATCTGTAATGATATTTTATTATAAACTTTTTATATTATCAATTATTATAAAATGGCAAAAGCTTAATTTTCAGAGTAGAGGTGGTTTTTATAAAAATAAATAATAATAAAATCTTCAATAAGTCCGAGTGGATATAGCACATGACCTGTATCTCTCCACCCCTTGACCTCTAATCATCAAAATTTAATAGCATCAATTCCTCTAATATGCAAACTAAATTTTCGACAAAAGGCACAGGAGTTAGTCAGCTTCAAAGTGAGTGAAAAAAATCGTGCTCCTACATTTGTATTTTGTGTAGAAATTTAAAGTCAATGTGTTCATATCTGACTTGTAAGACGATTCTATTTTTGAAGTTGTTTTTTTAAGTGTCTATTTATTCGCCGAAATTGTACAGTAATTAGTTTAACTAAATTAATTGTCAATTTCCAAGATAGTATAAGTATTAACTATTAATTGATTTATTCACAAAGTATAAAATACAGACGAAACTAAAACATCTTCACTAACTACACACAGTCTTCTATCGCAGAGACAACCTTTTATTAGAGTTACACTTTTGCAATATTATGCAAAACAGTTTTAAAAATGTTCGTTGTTGGTAAACCAAAAATTTTTATGTTATATAATTAAAATTCCATCTTATATGTTGCGTTTGGAATTTGGTGTCTCTAGAATGTCGGTAATAGTAGTAAAAACAATAGTTTCATTTTAGATTATTTTTGAGATTAGATGATAAAAGTTATGTTAAAGTAGCGTATACTGTATAAACTGTATAAATTGTGTTCAACGACGGATAATTTTATATATATTTGGTCGCTGGCGTTGAAAAATTTGCTAGATCGACACGGTTTCTCTTTCCTATGGTTGTCTAAGTACCCTCATTTGATCGAAAGCTATCAAATATTTATTATAAGGGTGCGCTGTGAACAAACCATACAAAAGATTGTTTTTTCAGCAAAGATCAAACATTTTCAATTATATCGTACATAAAGCAAGTTTTATGTGTGAGGATTATTTGTTTATATCCGGATATAAATTATCATGTAAAACGTTCAATACTGCAAATGCGATGTAGTCAAAATTAGATCTTGACATATAATAATAGTCTAATAGTGAATTTTGAGAAATTTTGTAGTAACTGTAATATGAAAGTGTACGAAACTTGGGAACATGTTTTCTTTCATTGTATGAAATTTGAAGCGAGCAGGAAAAAGTATTTGATAAGATTTAGTTCCTGGAAAATATAATCAATTTATCGCGTTTTTCAAAAAATGACTATTATTGTGTATTTTATTTTGTATTATCTTGTACATTAATTTGTTAAATTGCACTAACTTTAGTTTTATGTATCACTATATGTATTTTATTTTGTAATATCTTTGTATTAATCTATTACATGAAATTATTATATTGCATTAATTTCAGCTTTGTGTAATATTTTAACCCCTTGTAACGAACTAAGTAAGGTTCATACAATAAATAATTGAATTGAATTGAATATAAAATAATAATTATATTTTTAATTTAATACTTTTCATTTTTAATTCTTAAAATTTATAAACATTATTTATTATTATTATTATTATTTTTAATTAGGGACGATGTCATTTGCTAATTACACAGTTATTTACGACATCAATTCTCTCGAGAAGTTATATGGATACGAAGACATATATCAATGGATGAAGAATAAATGGCAATATTCCTTTGGATGGTCTATATTATATCTAATTTGCATTTTTGGAGGTCAGTCCTATATGAAATATCGTCCAGCCTTTCAGCTACGTACATTTTTAATATTGTGGAATATGGGTTTGGCTATTTTTAGCATAATCGGTACTGTACGAATGGGTCCAAATGTCTATAGATCAATTGAGAAAGCTGGTCTTATCAACACAGTATGTAATATTGGATACTTCACTTCAAATCCACCTAGTATATTTTGGTCCGGTTTATTCATGGCTTCTAAAGTTTTAGAATTTGGGGATACTGCTTTTATTGTATTAAGAAAGCAAAAGTTGATCTTTCTTCATTGGTATCATCATATTTTGACTTTAATATTTTCATGGTTTAACTACAGTAGAAATTCTGGTCTCGGAATACTTTTTATGATAATGAATTATTTTGTTCATTCAATTATGTACACTTACTTTGCTTTGAAAGCTTGTAAAATGAATATACCTCGTTCCATTGCTTCGTGCATAACAACTCTTCAGATTATTCAAATGATGTTTGGATTAGGTTTCAGTGTTTTATCTGTTTTAGTCAAAATGAACACTAAATGCAATGTATCTTATGATGTCATCATTTTTTCATTGATTGTTTATTTCACTTATTTTATTTTATTTTGTCAATTTTTCTATAATTCTTATTTAGCGCCGAAAGATATCTCGAAACATAAAAAGGTAATGTAAAATGAATTTGTAAAATTTAGAAATGATAAGAAAATGTATTAGAAAATTGGAACTGTTTTTAAAGAATTTAAAAAGTATAAAGTAATTCCTTTATGGAATAATTTAATTTTTATAATTAATATAAATAAATCTATAAAGTTTTAATTGTTAAAAGTTATATTCTACAATATTCATTCGAAAATTAATCAATAAAATTTTGTTATTGTTATTGGTATTTATTAATTATTATTATTAATATGTTGGGTTTAGTGGGTTATACTCGGTTCACACTGGTGGCTGTGTACTATGCCTGACCAAAGTCAAGGCATAGCAACCAAAAACTAAAATTAAATAAGCGTGTCAGTGTCTGTATTCAGGAATTTCATAACAATGTGGCATCTATTCCATACAGTGGCCTTCTGTAGTGTGATGTATGTATTTATATTCAATTGTAATGTTCCTAGGCTTTTGTGTGGTGTGTGTGGTATCACACTTGTACAGGAGAGAACAACAGATACAATAAATACCCTTTCCATCCTCCACAGATGCCTTATTTCCTCGGCGAGTTCTGTGTAGTTGCTAATTTTTTCAGTGCATGTGTTTTGTACGAAGTGTTTGGAATGGCTATGTCTATAATGTATGTGATTTTATTGTGTTTGTCAATGAGTGTGATGTCTGGTCTGTTGTGGTAAATTGTTTTATCTGTGATTATGGCTCTGTCGTAATACATTTTGTGCGTGTTATTTTCCAATACTGTCTGTGGAATATACTTGTAGTATGGTTCGTGGATGTCTGCCAATTTGTGTTTCTTTGCAAGCTCTTGGTGTATTATATTTGCTACTTGATTGTGTCTATGTAAGTAATCTGTCTGTGCCAAGAGCTTGCAACCAGAAGTGATGTGTTGTATAGTTTCTGGCATGATGTGACATTTTCTGCATGTGTCATTTGTGAGTGTTGTATCTTTGAGTATGTGTTTTCTGTAGTTTTTAGTGTTTATGACCTGATCCTGTATGGCAATCACGAATCCTTCCGTCTCTCCAAAGAGGCATCCCCGATCTAACCAGCTGTTTGACGCAGTTTTGTCAACAAAATCCTGGGCCAGGTCATAAGGATGCCTTGACCTGGAGTGCCTTTCGAGCCCACGATTGCTTGATGGTGTCTGTGCTTTTTATGTGTTGTGTTATGTCTGTATGATGAGAATGTAAGTTTAATGGTGTGTTATTTAAGTCTGCTAAAGTTATTGCTTTATGCAATTGTGATGTTTCTTGTTTCCCGTAGAAAAACTCTCGCAGTGACTGTATTTGTTTGTAATGAAGGTTAACTATGTCAATCAGGCCACGCCCGCCATCTTTACGTGGAAGGGTTAATCTTTTTATAACGGATTTAGGATGACGTTGTTTATGTTTAGTAAGTGTTGTTCTTGTTTTCCTTTGGAGTTGCTCGAGATCTGTGTGAGTCCAATGTATAACTCCAAAAGAGTATGTGAGTACTGGGATGACATGTGTTTATTGCTTTACCTGTGTGTTTTGCATTTAGCTGTGTTTTGAGTATAGCATTTAACCTACTTTGGTATTCTTTAATTAATCGTTGCTTTATTTGTGTATGTTCTGTTAGTTTGGCCTGTTGGAATCCTAAATACTTGTAGAACTCGCCCTCTTCCATGGATTCAATAACGTCTCCATTTCCAAGTGCAAACTCTTCTTTCTTCAGGATTCCTTTTTCTATGTGAAGTGTTTTGCATTTGTCTAAGCCAAACTCCATTTGTATGTCCTTAGTGTAAGAGTGTGTGATTTGTAGGAGTTGATGAAGTTGTTTCTGTGTGGATGCATAAAGTTTTATGTCGTCCATGTACATGAGATGTGAGAGCGTAAACTGTGTTGTTTTTTATGTCTGATATTGTAGCCATATTGTGTGTTGTTTAACATGTTGGATAATGGGTTATTGGCCTATTTTTCTAACCTCTGCCCAACCCACGAACGCGGACCTTATTAACCCGGGCGACGTCCGAGCTGGAGCCTGTGCTCCAGCCTGCATTGCCCTATGGATCAATAAAATTACTGGGCTCTCCCACTACGACCAGGTGGTGACCACGGGAGAGTTATTATTATTATTATTATTATTATATTTCACTTTTATTTTTAACCTGAAGAAATTTCAAACAGTAATTTTTAAAACACGATAAAAGATCTCCTTGCTAAAGCAAGAATCTTTGCTAAAGTTTCTTGCTTTAGCAAGGCAATCTTTTATCATATTTAAAAATTACTGTTATTATATATATTACAGGTAACCCAAGTATACGGGAGTTATGTTACAAAAAATTGTCGTGTTATACGATACAAAGAACTAGTACGAAAAGGGAGGTTAGGTTCCAAAAATTAAAAGAAAACATGCTATTATATTTTCATAATTAAGATAAATATCTTTATTAAAATTTTATTAAGAAGCGATACATATTAATATAAATTATACAATGTCTTTTTCGTCATCACTAAGCACTATTAATTGAGGGTATTTTCTTTTTGGCAAGATATACTTATCCTCTGAGCATTTTTCTTCATTATCTTCAGATCCATGCTCTACCTTTTTCAAAAAAATATGTTATTTTAGATTGCTTGCTTTTAGTTAAAAGATCATTATAAATTTCCTTATATGGTGCTAAGCACTTACCAAGTTATGGTTCTAAACACTTATGAAGAATAAAGCAAGTATAAAATAAGGGAAAAACATCTCGCAACACTGAAACAAGTTTCGAGAAGGACCATGTGTATCCACAGAAGGCGAGAAAAGAAAATTCACATACTTAAGTACTAATAGTTCACGAAAATAATAATTTTCGTGAACTATTAGTACTTAAGTATGTGAAAATTTATTACATTTCATGTTGTACGAGGGTTTTACTCAATTCTCGAACCGTGTTGGAGTGAATCCGTGCTATAGAAGTGCCGTGTTATACGGGGGGTTGCCTGCATATAGTTCTAAAATTTCCCGCTACGTGAGTTGTGAATTTGTGACCATCAAAAAGAATTTAATATTCATAACATAGGCATGCTATTGAAAATTTCTACGTAAAAACTGCCTACGGTTTGCGAAATACCATTTATAGTACCGCAAACGAGCAATAATGGATAGATATTAATGTACTGAACGCGCTTTCTCATGAAGCTAGATCTATAAATACAAGATCAGGACACCAATATTCCTTATGGAGTCAGCAATTTGGTTCGTTAGTTTCATGGTCACGGTATAGATTTCATGCTCTTTACATGCAGTAAACTGCACGTTCCTTCGAGTTTAAGTAACAAAATTCCTTACATAATTCCAAATAGAGTAGCTTTTCATTCATAGGCTATTCTGACATTTACTTCAAGGCTTTGGCTAACATAGATTTCAAAATAAAAAGCTATGTCACTGATTCGTATAATACAGTACAAGGATAAATTTATTTAGTTTCGAAATGTAAAATTAGAGGAAAAAAATACACATTTACTTTTCTATATTCATATGCACTTTTACATTACAAAAACTGAAAATAGAAGCATCAGAGTAAACATTTTGATGAAGTAAAATTAGATTATGATAAAAGAAAACCTTTCTCACAAATTTTGTATTAAGTAAAGTAAATCTTCAAAAGTGTTTGATGATAAAGTTCCGAAATAAAGAAATTTATGAATATAAATGAAATTTAATTATTTTTATAATGAATTAGATACGTATATTTACAAAAATTTATTAAACTTCATGCAATACAAACAAATAGATATATCAACTTCAACTTTATTTATTCTGTTGTTTACTTTATAATAAAATGATTATTAAGCAGCGTAATTATTCATTTAAAAATATGTAATTTGTACAATATTACATTATTTTCAATTATTATGGAATATTAATTTAAACGACTAAACGTTTTAATTTCAATTATTTTATTTTAAATTTTAAAGTATGTTTTCAGTTCACAAACAATATATTATAACAACTTTATTCCGTTAATAAGTCACATTATGGTTTTATACAACCTGTCAGAAAACAAACTTTATTACATAGTCTACAGGCTGGTATTGATCCAAGATTCACGATTTAATGTTGTAATTACAAACACTATTAAAGCATTGAAAAATGCAAAGTTCTTTGGTCGAAAGTTATTACATTATATTTCTAAATTGAAAAGTGAATTATATTAGTCATTTCAGTATAAGGAGAAATTTTATTTATAAATTCAAAATTACAGTACAAAGATATATTCTATTTACCAGGTGAAAAAACTGCATCTGATAAATTAGATATTCTATTTACCAAATGCACCGTTTTTATCCTTTTTATCATTCTTAGTAATAATTTTGGCCATTATGGTACTGTTCATGGTTAGATTTTATTTACAAACTGTGAAATAAATACATCGTCTGTGTTTTACTGTTCAGTTTAAGATGAATATTACTGTCTATGGAAAAGTTTTAACAAGAGTTTATCTAACGGGATCCCGGGAACCCATGAAATCCCGCAAATTTCTTAAATGCCACTTTTTTCTTATTTTGTGTTAAGGTTGAGGAAATTTTGCAAATAGAAAGTATAACTTATAAACTGTCAGAATACATCTGCATTTATTAATTTTAAGCCTGCTTATTAGTTTTTTTAATTTTTGCTAGTTATGGCATGTCACAGGTTGTCAATAATCAATACATAACCTATTTGTGGCAGGACTCTAAAAATTCTTTACTTGTCAGAACCTGTAACGTCTTGAATAATTGCGCCGATGCTGGCTTAATTTCTAATTATGCCCAGTAGCTTCAATAACTGCATTATGCCAGGTTGTGCAAATTGAGCATGAAGTATGCAAGTATGAAGGAGTTTTCTTCATAAACCTGATTATTAAAGTCAAACTAACTGCCGAATTATCAGGCCATAAGCTTGATGCCGCTTTCAAAGCAGCCGAGATAGACAAATGAAGAATACTAGACCGCAAAACAAATACTGCAACGCATCTCGAAAACGAACTAGAAATCTTCGAGGCTACAGGTGAAAAAACACATAAATTAATGCATTTAAG